CACTGATCCTGATTCTGCGCGCACGCACACACACACACACACACACACACACTTCGGGACTGTCCTCACTGCTGCTGTTAGACCTGGTTCACGTTGTTTATGACAGCCCTTGCTAACTGTTCTACAACTGCCTTGTTATCCCTCCCCCACTCCAAGTCTGTGACCTCCTGGAGGACAGAGACTATTCTTTCTCATCTCTGTAGCCCTCACTCCATCCCAGCACGGCCCTTTAATGGACACTACTTAATGACTCAAGACCAAAGAAAGCCCAAGAGGAGAGAAACTGCTTCTCTTCGGCATGACTGCAGAAGAGAAAAACCAGTTTAGTCATCTGTGTGCACGGTCCTCGTTTACAACTAGTTACCATGCCCAGGACTAGAAAGTTCTTCCTTGGAAAACTTAACATTTAGAGGACACGTTGCTTTAAACCTTTAATCCCTGGCTGTCAGGAATAGTGGGTAACTATAGTATGTATAGTCAATCCTAAAGGAAATTAGGACTGAATATGCGTTGGAAGGACTGATGCTGAAGCTGAAGCTCCAACACTTTGGCCACCTGATGTAAAGAAGTGACTCATCAGAAAAGACCCTGATGCTGGGAAAAGATAGAAGGCACAAGGAGAAGGGGATGACAGAGGATGAGATGGTTGGATGGCATCACCAACTCGATGGACATGAGTTTGAGCAAACTCCAAGAGTTGGTGATGGCCTGGTGTACTGCAGTGCATGGAGTCGCGAAGAGCTGGACACAACTGAGTGACTGAACTGAACTGATACATACATATACAGGGCTACAGTTTAGAAACTTGTATTCCAAGGCTATCTTACAGATCCAAATTTAAAGGTCTCCTCGATTATCCACTGGAGTGGAGATCCACTGTCCAGGGACTTCCCTGGGGGTCCAGCAGCTAATACATCACACTCCCAATGGAGGGGGCCCAGGTTCGATCCCTGGTCAGGGAACTAGATCCCACATGATCTAGCAACTAAGAGTTCATATGTTGCAACTAAGAGCCGGTGTAGCCAAAATAAATGTTAAAAAAGAAAGAAAGAAAAATAATTAAAAAAAAAGAAAGAAATCTACTGTCCAGAAAGCTACTGTTTATCTCTAAATACATAAAAGAATCATCTCTCCCCTCACCCCACAGATATTCACAAAGGTCCCTAATAAAGTTACATAAAAAGGTAGAAAGTGAAACCAAAACCAAGCCCAGAAAGCTACCTACTAGATGTGTTCAGAATCTGCGTGGGTGATTTACATGTGTGACATTCCTCACAATGTTAAGAGGGAAAGAACCATGAACTATGTTCTAGAGGACATAGCTCCACTGTGAGGCTTCAGAGAGTATGGACAAGCCAAGAATGCATCCATTTAGCATCTGTCAAGCAGGCATTTAAAAGCCACATTAAAGACCCCAGTCAGATATGTTATTTCCCTTAGTTTATGGATGAGAAACTTGGCCTCCTAAAAAATGTCAACTGAATGATGATGCAGAAGGGATTCAGCTCATTAAACCTCCTGTTGCTTCTTATTTGCCAGGTACTAGACCCATTCACGGGGTTTCCCTGATGGCTCAGCAGTAAAGAATCCGCCTGCAATGCAGGAGACACAGGAGACGTGGGTTCAGTCCCTGGGCCAGGAAGATCCCCTGGAGGAGGAAATGGCAACCCACTCCAGTATTCTTGCCTGGAAAATCCCATAGACAGAGGACCCTGGCAGGCTACAGTCCATGGGGCTGCAAAGAATCGGACATGACTAAGAAGGCAGGCAGACCCATTTATAGACATTATCTCAGTTAACCCTCACTTCCATTCTGCAGGGACACCGGACTCTCCCCACAATCCCAGTAGCGGACAGGAAGCTTTAGAGAAGGCAAGCCATGAATTTCTAAGCTCTGCCTTGGGGAGAGGCAACTTCTTACTCTTCCAAACATCCCAACAATTGACCTCACACTGTAGGACCAAATCAAGACATTTCACTACAGGGGGCTTTTCTTAGCATCATGGTGTGGGAAGAACATGGATTTTAAGGCCAGCTACTGGAAGCTGGAATCTGTCCACACTGTTACCTGTCCAGGTGGACCACGGGGCACCCCACACTTTCCCCAGCTGAAGTCACTCTTGCCAAACTCTTCAGCAATTCACGACTCTGCAAGTTCAGGGACAGATCATATCAGAGTCCCTAGTCCACTTCACACGACTGGGGAAAAAACAACCACAACTTCCCCTGCCCTTAGTTCCTCCTCCGAAAGAGCTGCTGAACCTCATCTGGAAACAGCTGGGAGGCAGCAGTTAACAGGAAACCAAACCCCCCCCCAAAAAAAAGTACAGAGTGTACCAGGGAGAGTTAGGCGGCTAGAACGAAGAGGCCGGGGGAATGACAGGAAGCTGAAGTCAGAAAGAGCCCAGGCCAGAAAGAGACAGAAGAGGCGGAGGCCCAGCTGTCTAGGAGAGGGAGAAAACCTGGAAAATGGGGGTGAAAGCTCTAAATGGCCCTGAAAGGGAAGTGAGGCCACCTCTGGGGTTGTTTTCTTTCCTCCCTGCCCCGCATATCACAACCCTCCTTCTCTGAAAGCCAGTGAGCAGTTTTCATAGGATAGCTGAGGTCAGAAACATTTCTGTTCTCACGCTGCTTTCTGGGCCAGAGGTTGCGGCCCAAATAACTGGTTTTGAGTCCTTCTCCTGTCAATTTGTACCCACGTTCCACGCTGCCAACTAAATTCTGGGGCCACCCAGATTAGCCTCACGCAGAGAGGGACACGAAGAGCATCTTCATGAGAAATTACTAGGCGGATGCCCACTGGGGGACCAGCAGTGGCAGGAGACTCTGCACAGGGAGTGACAGCAAAGCCGGACGGAGAACCAGCAGGGCTGGAGGTCTCAAAGAACAAGGTAAGCCTCAAATCAAACTAAGGGTGTATTTTGCAACCAAGAAAATTAAATGAGCAATGGCTGGCTGCCAAAATATTTTTGAAAGAAGTGGAAAAAAAATACCATTGCTAAAATTCTTTGGTGTCATTTAATAATACGCCTTCAGGTTATCCAAACTGAGGGCAGAGGGCAGACTGGTTTATTTACCCTTTAGCAGAGCTTAGGTGAGCACTTCGGCCCATGCCTCCTGCCACTCCATCGCCCATTCTCTCTTTGTATGCGGAGAAGTTTATATTAAAATAAAGGCGAGGATTAAGTTTGCTTAATAGAACACATTCCTATCTTTCACCTCCAGGTTTGTTTGAAAGCCCTCTCTCTCTCACTGCACCGTATGCTACAGTCGAGTTGAGTGTGATTCCAATGAAGCGCTCAAAATTAGTAAGCAGGACTAACCCTGGAGGAGGAAATGGCAACCCGCTCCGCTCCCGTATTCTTGCCTGGAAAATCCCACGGACAGAGGATCCTGGCGGGTTACAGTCCATGGGGTCGCCAAGAGTCAGACACGAGTGAGCATGCACGCACGCACGCACACATGAAGCAGGGCTAAAAGCGGGCAGAGAGCTGAGAACTCAATACCATTTGGGTTTAAAAAAAAAAAAAATCTTCACAGGCTTGGTGCCAGCTCAAACTGGCAAGACCAGAGAATCAGAGCGGAGCCTAACCAATGTGCCACGCAAAGGGGGTGGGAGGAGAGCTCTGGGTAACGTTCTGCAGCCATGTGGCAAACAAACCATCAGGGAAGCCTTCAAGAGAGGAAATGGGGGCGGGCAGAGTGGGGGTGCGTTTCAGGAACATAACAAAGGAACAAGTTGACTAATCATTTATTCCAGAGGGGGAAAATGCCACCGGGAGCTATGTATATCTAGTGTTTCAGCTTCAGGTAAATGTATAACTTGGGTATATTCGGGGCTCACTGCTTTCCAAAAAAAGGGGGGGGGAGGGAGGGAAACGTTCCTACTCCTCTTGATACTGTTTCTGGAATCTCCAAGGAAACTTTGTCTGCGCTGCCTGCAGCAGACACCTAAGACAGCCCCAGCCAGTCCAGTTACTAATGCAGTAATCTCCACTCTGCCGAGATCCTATCGTGAGCTTTGTGCAGGGCTGGGCTGCTCCGCACTGCAGCTCCTCCAAAGAAGTTCTGTTCCCGAGGCAGAAGTTATCCGAAGCAAATACCTGACAAACACACCAAGAAAGGGAGAGTGGAAAGGCATTTTAAGCCAGGAGGTTAAACCCAGGCACTTCTGTGACTTGAGGGAAAAAAAGAGATCTCCGCCTAGAGCCAGAGCCATAGGTCAGGATGGTGTCTGGGATGCCTGCCCTAAACATCTCCAAACAATGTTTCAGGGCCAGCCCAAGGAGCCTCTCCAACTTGCCAGGGGGACAGCCTCCACCACCAAGGGCTAGGGCTTCAGGTCTTCTTAGGAGGCACTCAGGGCCCCTCCCAAGTGTGGGTGGGGGGAGGGCTTCCCAATCAAGAGAGTGTGAGGGAACCCAGCCTCCCTCACGATAAGAAAACTAGCTTACACTTAGGGAGCAATTAAATATATGCCAGGCACTGAAATAAGCACTTTACCTATCTCATCCCATCCCCACAGCAGTCAACGGAGGCAGGTAATGCTGTCACCCTCTATAAGAGGAGGAAACGGGCTCGCAGATTTTACACAATCAGTAAACCAGCACCCAGGACAGGTGGTCCCAACCACTTCTCCCTGTCGCCGGAAACACATAAAGCTTTGGGGGGAAGGGTGGATAAAGTCAAGTAACACGAGGTACAGCCTGTATTTACACCTTTTTCTAGTCTGAAATCAGTGGCCTCAGGACATTGAGGGGGGGCGGGGGGTGCCTAGCTGGGGAACGTGAAGCCGGAAGAACTTAAGCCCTGGCAGACAGGGAAGAGGCCAGGACCTCCATCCCTCTCGTTTCCACTCGGGACCCCAGACCCATAAACCCGCCGGATGGGGGAAGACCCAAAGGGAATGCCTGAAGCTAAGAAGTCCCCCGGCGGCAGCCCTCCACGCTTGTTTTGTCAAAGGAGCCCCGCTCGAGAGGTGGGGCCGGCCGGGTTCCTACCTGTAGGCCAGGGTCATGCACTCGAAGAGCTTGGTGAGCGAGGCGTCGATGGACAGGTGGCAGGAGCTGGTCTTGCCGAAGCTGTAGGTCTGGCACGTCTGCTTGTTGACCGTGTCGAAATCGTAGCCCTTCTTGGGCGGGTGCTCCCGGTGCGGCGACGACACCATGAAGTGGCCGCTGTGGATGATCTGCTGGCGGCGCGGAGCCTCCTCGCGGCCCGACCCGGCCTTGGGCGGCGGTAGCGCGGCGCTCGCCTGGCCCCTGGCCGGGGTGGCTGCGCCGGAGGCGGGCGGCGGGGACGGTTCATCCGTGTCAGAGTCGTCGTCGTCCTCGGGCACCTGGGGCTTCAGCAGCACGGCGCGGCCCCGGCTGCGGGGCCGGCTCTGAGAGCACATGAAGACGTCGGCGGCCATGGGGGGGGCCCGGCCGGGGGCATCCCCCGGGAAGCGGGGAGACGCAGGGCAGCTGGCGAGACTGGGCGCCGGCCCGGGCCGGCCCGCGCGCCGACTGTCCGCGAGCGCGCGGCGGGGCGGGAGGGGGAGGGCGCGGGCCGACAGGGCCGCCTCGGCGCCGGCCCCGGCGTGACGTCACTGGCGCGTCTCGACCAATTGGGCGCCCTCGTCGGCCTCTTAAAGGCGCAGGGGTCCTTTCCGTAGCTGGGCGGACAAAAAAGGGGGGGGAGGGGGGAGCGGGAGGCCACGCCTCCCGGCCCCTCCCCTCGCCATCCCATTCCCTTCGGGGTGCTGCGGGACAGGGTGGCCAGGTGGTGTCACTCGCCAGTGTCTTGGCCTAGGAGAGGCATTGGCCAAGCAGGTCGTGCAGATCCCGCCTCGCACTCCGGGGAATGGCACTGCCGCCTCGCCGCGGCCGGACGGGCGCTCCACGTGTTGGGTGGGGGTGGCGCTCCTTCACCCTCTCAGGCCCCGCTTTCTCCTGCAGGGCCCGGAACTGTGTCCTGATGGCTCTTCCGAGATATTGCTGGGCCCTGAAGGTTTCGTCCCCATTTTATTGATGAAAAGACAGAGTCGCTGAATGCCAAAGGGATTTTCTAACGCTAAAGCAAGTTCATTAACACTTCTCACCTCTGCAGAGGTAGAAACTAGCTCTTTAGTTAAGGCACTTTCCCAGGACATCGCAATCTGTCAGTGGCAGAGCCAGCCACTAGCTCCGTTAACTACAACTCAAAATACTGTCATTATTGTTAAGATCTTAAACTTGGAGGGAGAACCAGCACCTAAACCCTTCTAAAAGTGGGGATTCGGAGCCATAATTGTCTTCTCTGTCAAATGGGGATTCCTTTGCCTCAGAAAGTTGTGACAATTGAAAAATGACTATAAAATGCTTTGCACAGTGCCAAGCAAAGAATGAGCAACTAAATAAACAGACTACAGGCTGAAGGGACTGAACCAGCCAGACCAAAGGCATCTAGAAATTGCCAGTACTCAACCACTTTTGACTATAGAAACAGCGATTTCATATGGCCCAACATAATAGTTGACATGTATAGAAAGTTGTCAAGGGGCTCAAAGGCAGCTGGCAGTGGCCATGTAGGGAAGGCAGGGCAACTAACTAGAGGGCCAGTGGGGCCCCTGGGGCAGGCGCTCGCATCCTAGTGTCTGCAGGGCCTCCAGAGTCTTCTACCACTGCTCCAGTGCTCTGCTCTGAAGCCAGTTTCGCTTCCAGATTTGGGTGGGATCTCAGCTCGATACCACACCTTCTTCCTGCCAGGGAGCATGTTGGGAGTGAAAGGGACAAATGGCTCTTATCAAAGCAACTGTGCAAACTCCATCCCTGGGTGTCTTCAAGGAGGGAGAGGCCAGAGGGACCGGCAGCTGGTGTGAGTTTGAAGTCTCCTCCCTTGTCCAAACCACCACTCCCAACTCTGGTTGCAAATGTCTGAAGGGCAACTCTTTGAGTTGCCTTTCTTTATCTGAAGACTTTTCTTCCTGATAAACACTTAAATGCCCAGCCTCTTTTGATATGGCAATTCCACTTCTATAATTTTATCCTAAAGTCTGTGTGTGCATCATTTGTAAAGAGTGGACGTTATAAACAACATGATGTCTAACAAGAGGGCATACATTGAATATAACATAGTCCCTAATATAATGAAATACTACATTTTAAATGATGCAAATGTATTTTTATTGACATTGGAAGATATCATATGTTGTTGGGTGGAAAGACAACTTTTAAAAAGTTATCAAGGGGTGGGAGGTGGGAGGGAAGTTCAAGAGGGAGGGGACATATACCTATGGATGATTCATGTTGATGTGTGGCAGAAACCAACACAATATTGTAAAGCAATTATCCTCCAATTAAAAATAAATAAATTTTTAAAAATTTATCAGAGGAATTCTCTGGTGGTTCAGTGGTGGGGAGGACTCCAAACTTTCACTCCAAGGGGCAGGGGGTTCAATCCCTGGTTGGGGAACTAGGATCCTACAAGCCACACGGCACAGCCAAAAAATAAAAAGTTATCAGTAGCTTGATGTCAGTTTTAAAAAATTCATATATTTATGTGTGTATGTCAGAAGTGTACCATAATGTTAACACTGGTTATCTCTGGGTGGGGCAACTATTTTCTAATTCCCAAAAGAGATAATTATTACTTGTATACTTTTTTCTTTGCAGTGTACTCTTTATTTCTCTTTGGTTTCTTAACACAAAAGATATCTATGTGAAAGGATATGTTAGGTAGTTAGAATAGGGAAAAGGAGTCCAAAATGGCGGTGGCTAAAAGACCTGGAAGGGAAAGCCCGCTAAAATAGAAGAAAGGAAGGTCCGAGGACCTGAGTGAGAACCTCAGGTAAAACAAACAATGCTCCTGCCTAAGCCCAATTTGCATAGGACAGGCCCAGGGGGAACAAAACAACACATAAAAAGAGGAGCCAAAGCCCTCTTCTCTCTCTCCCCCACACGATGGGGCGATCTTCTCTTCCCGTCTTTGGATCGAAGTGCCCTCACACCTCGAAGATGGCTTTTCCTGCTATCATCCAAATAAATAGAGCTGTAACACTGAGCTGTAACAGTGATTTATTTAAGAGCTATAACACGGTCTGGCTTTAATGTCCGTCACTCCAAATCTTTGTTGTGACGAGACAAAGAACCAAGGAGCATACACTCGCCTGACAGATATTTTTATATGTAGTTTTTTTTTTTATGTTGACCATTTTTTAAAAGTCTTGATTGAATGTGTTACAATATTGCTTCTGTTGTTTATGTTGACTTTTTGGCCATGAGGCATGTGGGATCTTAGCTCCCCAACCAGGGTTTAAACCCTATACCCTTGGCATTGGAAAGTGAAGTCTTAACCACTGGACTGCCAGGGAAGTCTCTACTTAAAAAAAAAAAAAAAAAAATTTAAGGCCCTTCCATGTGGCGTGCGGACCTTATTAATTGTTCCCTGACCAGGGACTGAACCCATGCTCCCTTAAGTGGAAGCACAGAGTCTTAACCACTGGATCGCTAGGGCGGTCCCAAGGATATAGGGCGGTCCCAAGGATATATACTTTAAAAAGCAAAAGCAAACAAACAAAAAACAAACCCCATCAATTTCCTGGGGGGAGATACACTCTTAAGGCTGAAGTTGAAAACTGGCAACCTACAGGCCTTACTCTGTACACCAACATGCTTTGTTTAATCCTCCCCATAATTTCCTAAAGATCACATTAGAAAAGAAGCAAGACTTGAGGAAAAGCAGTTTAAAATGCAGTTAAAAGCAGAGGACCACCAAGAGTGAGAGCTGCAGGTTGCTCCAAGCTCCCAGTCATTGGCTGGAAAAAAGTCTCAAGGGCAGTTTTTGGGAAAATGTGGAAATATTTGCCAAGGATCTAGGCTGATGACTGCCTCCTCCCTCGTACTAAGTAGTGGACAGCAAGAGCAAGCACACAGGGGGACACAGAGGGCAGTGTCCCAGGGGAGCCAGCAACTCCATGAAGGACAAAGAGCTTCCACACCCAGCAAACCACTAGAACACACAATCTCACAGGATAAGCATCTTCCACCAGAACCTCATAGGATAACCATCTTCAACCAAAAGTAAGAAGCAGCATTCCATGGTAATCAAACCAGCAAACAGGCAGATAAGAATTCCCAAATACAGGGAATTCCCTGGCAGTCGGTGGTTAGGTCTCCACACTTTCACTGCCGAGGTCTCGGATTCAATCCCCGGTCAGGGAAACAAGATCCCACGAGCCTTGCAACACAGCCAAAAAATAAAACAAAAAAACCCCAAATACGAAATGTTACAGACCAGCAAAGGTCAGCAAACAATTAAGGAAAGTCAGCAGTCTGGAGGAAAGCTACCTGGGAACTAAAAAGTGAAAGGGAAAAGTTAACAGAACAAACAGAAGACTTTAAAAAAGAAATAGCCCTGGAAAGAATACAGAAGATTCTCAGCATGTATATTATCTATAGTGAAACAGATCACCAGCCCAGGTGGGATGTATGAGACAAGTGCTCGGGCCTGGTGCACTGGGAAGACCCAGAGGAATCGGGTGGAGAGGGAGGTGGGAGGGGGGATCGGGATGGGGAATACATGTAACTCCATGGCTGATTCATGTCAATGTATGACAAAACCCACTGAAATGTTGTGAAGTAATTAGCCTCCAACTAATAAAAATAAATGAAAAAAAAACCGAAAAAAAGAATACAGAAGATTCTGAACACATTAAGCAACAACCAATATGCAAAAGAAGCAAACAGAGGTCCTGGGAAAACAATATGAATATAAAATTATGATTCTGTAGAAAAGTCAAGTTGAATAGCAAAATGACTGGAAAACACAGTCGTAAACTGAAAGACTGATCTGAGAATTTATTCCCAAAGACTGCCAAAAGGACAAAGGCAAATTAAGTGACGTGGAGGATTCTTCCAGCCAAAGTTCCAGCACCTGCCTAATAGTTCCAGAAAGGAAGAAGAAGAAAGTAAAAGAGAGACGAAAAATTGGAAAGAGGAAATAAAGCAGCAGTAAAAGAAAAAATTTCCCAGTGCTAAAGAGGCAAACATTTCATATGGGTCAAACACAAGCTGAAGGTGCTGTGATAAACCACACCCCAAGTTGCAAAGGCTTAAAACCACAAAGGTGTGCTTCTACTGAAAGCCACCTGTGTATTGACTACACATCCATTATAGGCTGACAGTGTGCTCTGCCGGTCAGAGTCGCTCCCAGACTCGGGCCACAGAGCAGCCACTGTGGCAAATGCTGCCCAGAAGGGATGTGTACTCACAACTCACCCGCCAGAACTAATCACATGGCCCCGCCCAAGCACAAGGGAATTAGGAAGTACAACACAATCATAAGACCAGAATCCAGCCAGCCAGAAATATTTGGTGGCCAGCACTGGTGACCAAATGAGCGTGCACACACACACACACTGGTGACCACTGATGACTATAGCTCTGGATTTCA